GTATTAACAACAGCAATAATAATAATCCTTTCATTTGTTACAGCGCCTTATCAGGTCTTCGAGACATCTCAAAGCGCTTCACAAAATGCACTGTAAAGTGAATTGACTGTATATTTTGTGGGTGAAACGCAGCAGCCAATTGCTCACAGCAGCGTCCCACAAACAGCCGTGGGTTGAGTGACCACATTATTTATATTCGTTTTGAAGGGATTATTATCCCTGGAAAAGTGATCTGCCAATCGACTAACAACCAAATAATATTGCTCACTCGCTCCATGGCTGTTTGTGGGGACGCTGCTGTGTGCAGGTCAGGGTGGGGGGAGGGAGGGAGCGAGGAGGGGGAAATGGTCAGAGGAAAAAAAGTGAGGGGGGAGGGAAGGGAGGGAGCGAGGAGGGGGGAAATGGTCAGGGTGAGGGGAGGGAAGGGAGGGAGCGAGGAGGGGGGAAATGGTCAGGGTGAGGGGAGGGAAGGGAGGGAGCGAGGAGGGGGTAGAGAGTCGAGAGAGGAGCTGAAGGCACGGTTGAAGAGAAAGGTCTTGAGACCGGCGTTGAAGGAGGAAAGGGAGGAAGCGGCGAAGGCACTGGGGATAGAGTTCCAGAGCCTCGGGACTGAGAGGCTGAAGGCCCGGCCACCGATGGTAGGGCGGTTGGGGCGGGGATAGTAGGTCGGAGAGGTAGGAGGGAGCGAGGCCGTGAATGGCCTTGTAGGTGAGGATGAGGATTTTGAATTCGATCCTCTGGGGGATGGGGAGCAGTGGAGGCGAGCGAGGGTGGGAGTGATGTGGTCGCGAAGCCTGGTGCGGGACAGTACACGAGCTGCAGAGTGTTGGATGATCTACAGGTTGTGAAGGGAAGAGTTGGAAAGGCCGATGAGGAGGGAGTTCCCGTAATCGAGCCTTGAGGTGACGAATGTGTGGGTGAGGGTTTGGGGGCCTGAGGGGTGAGGCAGTGGCGGAGTCTGGCATTGTTGAGGAGGTGGTGGTAGGCAGTGCCGGTCATGACACGGATGTGGGGGAGAAAGGACAGTTCAGGGTCAAACGAGACCCCCAGGTTCTTGACTGGCTCAGTGAGGTTGAGTGTGCAGCCGTGGAGGCTGATGCTGCCAAAGCCTGAGGTGCGGAGGCGCTGGCGCGAGCCAATCAGGAGGGCCTTGGTCTTGCAAAGCTTTTCCTAGCTTAGTGTCATCAGCAAACTTGGAAATTGTACTCCCTATACCCAAGTCCAGGTCATTTATATAGATCGAAAACAGCAGTGGTTCCAATACTGAATCCCTGGGGGACACCACTGCACACTGACCTCATCTCAGAAAAACAACTGTCGCTATGTGCGGTGACACATCTTCACTCACATGGATGGAGTGAGGAGGCCAAATGTATCTGTGACTTGTCCCAGCTCCTCCGTAAATTCACATCACTGTATTGTAACAAGGCGGTAAGAAGACTTTGTTCATCACCCTCGTTCTGTAACCCACACAAGGGCTAAACAGGAATCCAGTACCATGTCTGATGGGTTTGTGCTGAAGCACCTGATTTTCTTGTGAGTGTGAGTTTCCTTCAAAATGTTGATGCGATTAAGATTTGAACCCTTAAAGATTCTAAAGGGATGAGATAATGTAAACCATGATCAGCTGTTTATCGTGTATTGAACAGTAGAACTAGAGGACAAGGCCTGTGATTGAAGGGGGTAAATCCAGAACAAATCTGGGGAAACATCACTTCAGTGAGAAAGCGATTAGTAAAGGTATGGAACAGACTCCTGAGGGAGACAGACAGACGGTGGAAACCAGAAAGTGTTGATTGTTTTGAAAGCAAATGAGTTAGATTTCTGTTAGGAAATAATATCTGGGGATACAGTATATAGTTTGGGACGTGACATATACAAGCCAAGATGGAGAAAAGCGACTGAATGGACCTTAGTCTTCTCTCGATTTGCAAATTATTATGTTCTTAACTGTGGTGTGAACTTTGAGCCCCGTGTTGTTAATTTTCTTCTCTCTCCTAACCATGGGATTGTTTTTCTTGCAGTAATGCGGCCGCTTAGCATGTCTCAAAGTTTTGACTTGTCAGGTAAAGGCGGTCAGATACCTGATGTCTGCTCTTTCTTGTGATGTTTTCACTGTTGCCTTCATCGCCTCCCTCTCCCCCTCCCCCTTCTCACCCCTCACACCCCCCTCACACCCTCCTCCCCCC